TATATATATATATATATATATATATATATATATATATATTTAAAGATATATGTAATATATAAATAAACATATTATTACAGATATAACGATAAAATATTATTTGTATAAATATTTTGACATAAATTGTTAAAATATATCATAACAATATATATAATATATATTAATATAATTATTATTATTATATAAATATTTAATATTAATTATAATAATATATATTTATATTATATATTATTATTATATAATAATATATAATAATAATAATATATATTTATATTATATATTATTATTATATAATAATATATAATAACTATAATATAATAATATAGAATAACAATATATATAATAATATATAATAACTATAATATAATANTAATATAATAATATAGAATAACAATATATATAATAATATATAATAACTATAATATAATAATATAGAATAACAATATATATAATAATATATAATAATATATAATACCAATATATATATATATATATATATATATATATATATATATATGTGTAACGATAAAATAATATTTGTATATTAATTATTTGACGATAAATCGATAAAATGATTTGACTATTTTATAATAGCATTAAAATATTATTATTATTATATATATATATATATATATGTTTTAAAGATAAATCGATAGAAGTGATGATACCATCTATTATTGCAGATAAACGAAAGCAAATATTGCACAATGTAACAGGTTATTTTGAGCCAGGAAAATTGACTGCCTTAGTTGGGCCGTCAGGTGCTGGAAAATCGACTTTGTTCAACATAATATCTGGCATTAAATCGTCCAACGTTAAAGGTTCTATTAAGATAAACGGTCATGAGGAAATAAATGCGAATACATTCCGAAAACAAATTTGTTACATACCGCAGGAATTCACTTTGCATCCATTATTAACTGCGAAAGAAACCTTTTATTTTGCCTGTCGTCTTAAACTTGGTCAAGGTTATTCAAAATTGAAGTCACGTTTTATCGTAAGTCGATATTATCATTTTTAGTATATATATATATATATATATATACATTTAGGTATGCAATTGTATTTATCTTGAAAATTGTGCAAGTCTTCTTTTTGTTTTTTTTTTTGTTTATTTCGAGATAATTCAATGATTAGCATAATAATCAAAATTTCAAAAAAAAAAAAAAAAATACAAATTAATTATTTATATCAAGTCTGACAATGTTTCTGTTAATTTATCACAACACGTAATTTAATTATATGTAAATTAATCTAACCAAACTATTTTATCATAATTAATCAATCGTAAAAATGATGTAATTTTTCAATTATACGAAATTCAATAACACTTATACATTTATTTTATATTAATTTAATAAGAAGAAATAAAAAAAAAATAGGAATAGTAGGTATATTTTAATTTTTTAACCTTAATTAACCATAACCTTAATCTTAATTATTGTTAAACTTTAAAATAAAAATATTAGCAGACAGAAAAATAAAATTGTTCATGCATATCCATTTATTGTTCCAATTTACGTTTTTTTTTATTTTTGTTTATTTTAAATTCGTTTAAGTAAAAATGAAATATTTTTAACTACGTGAGTCTATGAAAATTGGATACTCACCATTTTCATAATCAGTAATTACGCAATTTTTTTTAGGTTAATTTGAATTTGAACGAAACACATTGGCATTTTTTTTTTAAATAAATTAAATAATTACTAGTTATAAATAAAAAAAACAATTAATACTAAGTTAATCGCAAATTAAATATTTCTTTTTTTAAATTTACAATACACCATTTTCATAATCAGTATTTACGTAATTTTTTTTATTTTTTCTAGGTTAATTTGAATTTGAATGAAACACATTGGCATTTTTTTTTAAATAAATTAAATAATTACTAGTTATAAATAAAAAAAACAATTAATACTAAGTTAATCGCAAATTATATGATATTTCTTTTTTTGTTTGTTTTCAATTTACTTTACACCACTTTCATAATCAGTATTTACGTAATTTTTTTTAGGTTAATTTGAATTTGAACGAAACACATTGGCATTGTTAAAAATAAATTAAACAATTACTAGTATTAAATAAAAAGAAATATAACACTAAGTTAATCGCCAATTTTTTTTTTTTTTAAATTGACTTGCACCATTTTCAAAATAAATGGTTTTCATACGTCACCGTAAAAGATCGAAATCTGTTAATGTCAAAATACACATGATTTCTTGTTGTATGTCGAAAATATTAATGTATGTATAGTGCAACTGCATTTGGCAAGTGCATCGATGCATTTTCAAAAAAAGTAAGGTTATAGAAAGTTGACGTGTGTTGTGTCACATAACTTTTGTCCTTTGTCGTGTTTTTTTTTCTATTGTTACTTTAAAAAAAAAATTATTACTCGTCCCAGATACAAGATTCACCCTCCTGTATATATAAAAAAAAAAAAACGTAATAATAATCAAATGAAATAATAATTGAATCGATAGGTGAATAAAATTGCGGAAAATCTTGGATTAACGAAATGCCTTGAAACACCTGTTGGAAAATTAAGCGGTGGTGAAAAAAAAAGACTTTCCATCGGTATAGAAATTGTGACAAAACCAGCAATTTTAATATTAGACGAACCAACTAGCGGACTTGACAGTTCATCGTCTAATCAGGTTAATATTTATTTATTTATTTATTTATTATAATTATTAAATATATTTTTTAACTTATTCAAAATTGATTCGTTCGGACGAGTGTTTATAAATCCCATAGATTATCAACGTGTTACATTCGATGTCAAGGTCAGGATGTACAATAGCCTGTAGTGTTCATCAACCAAGCAGCCAAATGATTTCGAAATTTGATAATATGATAATTATAAATCATGGTACAACTTTATATTGCGGATCACGTGAAAATATTTTAGACACTTTCAAGAATGTTGGATTTGTTTGTCCAACTTTTTACAATATCGCTGAATTCGGTATTTTTTTCTTTCTCTCTTTTTTTTTCAATCACCATTTAAATCAGTAGTTCTCAAAGTGGACGATTTTGAAGTCCAGGGGGGGGGTAGCCAATAACGACCACAGGTGAACTTTTGGAATGAGAAAAATGAAGTACTGAAGAGGTAAAAATGTTCGTAGTCATTAAAAAATTTTCGTAGGGGCGATAGACAAGAAAGTTTGGAAACCACTGATTTAAATCAATGAATTTATAATCATTTAGCAAATATATATATATATTTGATTATTTATAAAAAAAAATAAATCTTTTTAATAATAGTACTCGAAGTTGTGACTGATCAATGTGATGAAAATTTAAATAATCTTAAGAAAATTCATACAGACGAATACAATGAACGAAAATCGAAAAAAATATTGTATAATACGATTGGTAAGTTACTAAATTTCTGTTTCATAAATATATATACAGATTCAATTTGCATTAAACTATAATATTTTCAGAAAATTTGTATGAAATATGAATATTAATAAATACATATTCATATTTCATACAAATTAATAAATACATATAAAGTAAATTTATATTTAAAAATACATTTAAAAATTTACATTTAAAATAGCCGAATGTCCTCAAACAATACCTTATATAGGAGAAAATGGTTTCAAAGTAACCAATAGATATATATATCTATCGAACTATCGATACATCGATCTATCAAACTATCGATATATCGATCTATCGAACTATCGATATATCGATCTATCGAACTAATGATATATCGATCTATCGAACTATCGATATATCGAAATATCGATCTATCGATCTATCGAACTATCGATCTATCGATATATCGAACTGTCGATATATCGATAATATATATATCGATAATCGATAATCGATATCTCGAAGTTCGAAATATCGATAATTCGATAAACGATATATCGAAGTTCGATATATCGATAGTTCAATAATCGATATCTCGAAGTTCGATATCTCGAAGTTCGATATATCGATAGTTCGATCATCGATATCTCGAAGTTTGATATATCGATAGTTCGATAATCGATATATCGATAGTTCGATATATCGATAGTTCGATAATCGATATCTCGA